AGGCCATACCCGGGGGGCGGGGGCTGTATCCGGGGAAGGGGCGGGGGGAGGAGGCCATACCCGGGGGGCGGGGGCTGTATCCAGGGAGGGGGCGGGGGGAGGAGGCCATACCCGGGGGGGCGGGGGCTGTATCCAGGGAGGGGGCGGGGGGAGGAGGCCATACCCGGGGGGGGGTGGGGGCTGTATCCAGGAAGGGGGCAGGGGGAGGAGGCCATACGCAAGGTGGGGGGGGGCTGTGTCCAGGGAGCGGGTTGGGAGAGCGGGTCATGCCTAGGGGCAGGGGCTATACCAGGCGGAGTGGGCCCTGCAGCGCCCCAGCCCTTAGGGGTTTTGCCCACTGACCAGCGCCAGTCTCTGCTGGGGGCACGGCCCCCGGGAGCAGACCCTGTGACCGCCCCGGGCTGCTCTTTGCATGGTCACTCCCCCAGCTGCAGCCCGATCCCAGGGGTGCTCGCTGCTGCCTGAGCCTCTGTAGCCTGTCGGCTGCGGGGGGCTCCCGGGTCAGGCTCCCCGTGCGGATGGGAGGTTCCAAGCAGCCGCCTGTCCCCAGCCAGCGCAGAGGGGGGCCGGGCGCTCTGTGCCCGAACCCAGCCCCACGTCGGGCAAAGCCGAAGGCAGCCTGGCTCCAGAGAGGGGCAGCCTGCGGGTGCGAGGGGAGGCCTAAGGGTGACCTTTGCGATGCAGCCCCCATTCTGCGTCTGCAGTACAGCCTGCAGGGACCCCAGTGCCTGTCTCACCAGCATGGGGTCTGAGAGTCCCTGGGTCCTGTAGCCTCACAGAGCTGCCTGTCCATATTAATTCAGAGGGGACACCTGCAGCTTGCCCTGTTTCCTGCCCGTTACTGGTGGCCCTGGGTACCTACCTAGTGAGATGCCAGTGCACAATCTGAGCACCCCCAGTATATGTGGCTGTCACTATGGGAAGGTGATAAGCCAAGGAGGCAGGTTTTGGTTTTGTTGTCTGGAGTCAAACCTGCCCCTGAAATGTTTGCAGCCCAGTCCCTGCTCCCTTGTTCTAGCACACGAGACCCCGAGAGGGAAACTGACTACAGAGTTTATTTTTGAAAGGAAGGAAACAAGCCGGAGGAGAGAATCCTGGGGCAGGGGCCTGAGCCATGTCAGCGGAATGAGAAATCCGTCCCCCTGCTGCTGACAGCAGCCTGGTTAGCCTGCCATCAATCCCAGGAAAGATCACGGAACAGTTAATTTAAGGCTCTATCTAAAGAACTGGAGGCTACAAATATACTTAGAATCATAAACCAGAGGGTTAGAAGGGCCCGCAAGGGTCATCTCGTCTTAACGCCCGCCATGATGCAGGATTTGTGTGTTTAAACCATCCAAGACAGTTCGCTCTCCAGCCTCCTTTTGAAACCTCCCGTGAAGGAGCTTCCACGACCTCCCCAGGCCCCTGCTCTGTCCCATTGTCCTGCTGTTCTTACACTTAGGAAGTTGATCCTGAGATTTAATCTAAACCTGCTCTGCTGGAGTTTGACCCCATCGCCTCTTGTCCTGCCCTCTGGGGCCAGAGAGAACAACTTTTCTCCCTCTTTATGGCAGCCTTTCAAATATCTGAAGACCCCGATCATGCCCCCCTTAACCTTCTCTTCTCCAAACTAAACATACCCAGGTCCTTCAGCCTTTGCTCCTATGGCTGCATTCCACCCCTTTGATCATCCTTGTCGCTCGCCTCTGGATCCTTTCCAGTTTCTACATCCTTTCTAGACACTGGTGACCAAAACTGGACACCGCACTGCAGCCGAGGCCTGACCAGCGATGAGTACTGTCACCTCCTGTTAACGCAACCTGAAATCGCATTTGCTGCTTTTGCAACAGCATCGCATTGCTGACTCGTGTCCAGGGTGTGATCCACCACAACCCCCAGAGCCTTCTCAGCAGTGCTGCTGCCAAGCCAGTTACTCTCCCCCCCCATCCCCGCCCAAGTCTGTATTTGTGCATTTGGTTTTTCTTGCCTAAGTGGAGCATCTTCCATAAGTGAGCTGTAGCTCATGAAAGCTCATGCTCAAATAAATTGGCTAGTCTCTAAGGTGCCACAAGTCCTCCTTTTCTTTTTGCGAATACAGGCTCACACGGCTGCGACTCTGAAACCTGTCATTTTGACATCTCTAGCCCAGTTCTCCAGTTTATCACGATCCCTCTGAATTTTAGCTCTCTCCTCCAAAGTGTCAGAAATCCCACCCCCAGCTTTGTGTCATCTGTACACTAGATCCATGCACTCTCTAGTCCCCCTTCCGGGTCATCGATTCACCACCGGACCCAGAACAGATCCCTTGAAAGCCCACTTGAGACCTCCCTCCAGTCTGACAGCATCCCATTAGCAGCTTCTCTTTCTTTGCGGTTGTTTAACCAATTCTGTATCCACTAAATGGCACTTCTGCCACGCCTGCATTTCTCCAGCTCACTGATCAGAATGTACCGTGGGACTGTGTCAAAAGCCTGGCTGACGTCCAGATGTATTATGTCCCCCACATTCCCCTGTCCACCAAACCAGTTACCCTGTCCAAGAAGGAAATCAAACCGTTCCTCACCCCGATCAGTCTTTCCTGCGTGACTGTGCAGAGCCTGGGCTCTCTTCCACACAGGCCTTATCGGGATGGGTGCATGGATGCCAGTGCCAGGGGAATTCACAGCACACCGGGGACTGCACCCTGGACAGTGTTTGCCTGCAGCTGCTCTTTGTCCTCCTCTTGCTGGCCTGGGTGGAGCATGCCAGAGCGTCTACCCCTGGCACTGCTGCCCCACTGCACACAGACTGCCCACTTCCCTCAGCCCCATGTGGGAAGATCAGTGTTGGAACTCCCTGCAGGCAGGGCTAGATTAACCTTTTGTGGGCCCTAGTGCCCGGCCCATAGCCCTGACCCCATACTCTGCCCTGACCAACATCACACAGTGTTACACAAGGTCTGGATCCGGGGAGCAGAGCTGCTTGGTCCCATAGCAAATGCCCCATGAAATGTCCCTGCACAGGGAAGTCGGCACATTGGGGCAAGCGCTGGAAATGTCAGGGGTTGCGTAGGGCTGTGTCACAGCGTCCCCGGGCGATGCTCTGGAACTGCTCCCCATGAAGCCAGGCAGGACTCTGGGGAAGTCTCCTCTCTGGGAGCAGCCTGTCTGCAGGACACACAGCTCACCCGGCTCCCACCTTCCTGGGTCTGACCTCGGAGCATTCAGCCTCCTCTGCCCCGCCGTGCGCTTCCCCCAGTGAGTCCGCCCAGGTGGGGTCCTGGGGAAGCCGTAGGGTCCTGCCCCCCAACTCCGCAGTCAGACGTGACTCTCAGCCAGCCAGGAAAACAAAAGGTTTATTAGACGACAGGAACATGGTCTAGAACAGAGCTTGTAGATACAGAAAACAGGACCCCTCAGCCAGACCCATTCTCGGGGGCAGTGAGCCAGACAACCACATCTGCCCTTCACGCCATGTCCCCAGCTAGCCCCCAAACTGCCTCACCCTCCAGCCCCTCCTCCTCTGGGCTTTGTCCCTTTCCCGGGCCAGGAGGTCACCTGATCCCTTTGTTCTCCAACCCTTTAGCTCTCACCTGGCAGGGGGGAAGGGCCCAGGCCATCAGTTGCCAGGAAACAGGGTGTCGGCCATTAATATACCCTGGCCTTTTGCTCTGCAACAATTAAACCCCTTTTCCCACCCCCTAGAGACTTACGAAATGCCTAGGGGAAACTGAGGCACCCCTACAGTATTCAGAGGAAACATTAAGAACAGTCCCACTTGGTCACAGGCTGGCACGTAACTTCCATGCCCTGACCGGGCACTGTTACGTGCCCCTGTGATCCTGGGCTCCCAGCCGTATGCGATTGAGAGCCTTGGCCGGCTCAGCCACGCTTCTCTCGACAGGCCGGTGTGTTTGGACTGGCCCAGGCTCTGGCTCCCTTTCGCCCCTCTCCCCAGCAGCAGCGATTGATCCAGGTCAGCGGGACTTTATCGACTTTCACTCACTGCTCACGGCTGAGCTCCCAATTAGGGTCCACGTGTAGGAACAATTATCACCACAGGTCCCTGCACCTGCCACAGCACCCCTGTACCCCCTGCAAAGCTCCCCACATCCCTGTAGACCCCAGCGCCCCATACCCCCAGCACACCCATATCCACCCACATCCCTGTACACCCCAGTACCCCTGTACCCCCAGTACCCTCATACCCACCTGCAGAGCTCCCCACATCCCTGTACCCCCAGCACCCCCTGTGCCTCCCAGCAACTCCATACCCACCTGTGGAGCTTCCCCCCCTGCACCCCGTGCTGCCTGCAGAGCTGGGGGGCAGGGGAAGGAGCTAGGGAAACTATAGGGTGTGAAGAGTTAGCAGCTTTATGAGGGACCCGAAGCCCCCATGGCTGGGGTGAGGAACCAGAGACTGCCTGGAAACACTGAACAAGGAGCTGCACAGTGAGGGTCAGCGACACCCCCACCCCACAGCTCCTGGAGCCCCGCCCCCAGCCCTGCAGCCCCGCCCCCAGCTCTGAGACCCCCCCAGAGCCCCGCCCCCCCTGCCTGCAGCCACGCCCCCAGCTCTGAGACCCTGCCGGAGCCCCACCCCCCCTGCCTGCAGCCCCGCCCCCAGCTCTGTGACCCTGCCGGAGCCCCGCCCCCCTGCCTGCAGCCCCGCCCCCAGCTCTGAGACCCTGCCGGAGCCCCACCCTCCTGCCCTGCAGCCCCGCCCCCAGCTCTGAGACCCCCCCAGAGCCCCGCCCCCCCTGCCTGCAGCCCCGCCCCCAGCTCTGTGACCCTGCCAGGAGCCCCGCCCCCCCTGCCTGCAGCCCCGCCCCCAGCTCTGAGACACCCCCCAGAGCCCCGCCCCCCCTGCCTGCAGCCCCGCCCCCAGCTCTGAGCCCCGCCCCCCGGCAGTGCACTCTGGGTGCGACCGGCCCGTCCTGGCGTCTTCGCAGGAGCCGGGGTGGCGGCCCCGCGGTCAGGTAGCGCCGGGGGGTCGGGCAGGAGTTAGGGGCGGGGCCGGGGGCTGGGGCGGGGCCGGGCAGAGGCTGCGCGGCGTCCCCCCCCCCGCCCACTTTCACTTTCGTTTCTGGCCTGCCTGGGTCCGAGCCCGGTCCGCCGCGGTGGGGCGGGGGTGAGTTTGGGGGGCCCTCCGGTGCCCTGGGCTGTGGGGGGGGCCGGCCGGGGGCCGTGGGGGGCCCTGCCCCAGTGTCGGGGGGGGCCGACCGGGGGCCGTGGGGGGCGCCTGCCTCAGTGTGGGGGGGGCCCTGCCCCAGTGTCGGAGGGGGCCGGCCGGGGGCCGTGGGGGGGGGGCCCTGCCCCAGTGTCGGAGGGGGCCGGCCGGGGGCCGTGGGGGGGGGCCCTGCCCCAGTGTCGGAGGGGGCCGTGGGGGGGCCCTGCCCCAGTGTCGGGGGGCCGGCCGGGGGCCGTGGGGGGGCCTGCCCCAGTGTCGGGGGGGCCGACCGGGGGCCGTGGGGGGCGCCTGCCTCAGTGTGGGGGGGCCGTGGGGGGGGCCCTGCCCCAGTGTCGGAGGGGCCGGCCGGGGGCCGTGGGGGGGGGCCCTGCCCCAGTGTCGGAGGGGGCCGGCCGGGGGCCGTGGGGGGGGGGGGGGCCCTGCCCCAGTGTCGGGGGGGCCGGCCGGGGGCCGTGGGGGGGGGGGGCCCTGCCCCAGTGTCGGGGGGGCCGGCCGGGGGCCGTGGGGGGGGGGCCTGCCCCAGTGTCGGGGGGGACCATGGGGGGGGGCCCTGCCCCAGTGTCGGGGGGGGCCGGCCGTGGGCCGTGGGGGGGGCCCTGCCCCAGTGTCGGGGGGGGCCGGCCGGGGGCTGGGGGGGGCCTGCCCCAGTGTCGGGGGGGCCGGCCGTGTCTCTGGCACCCGTGGGGGTGGGGCGCTGGGCGCAGTGCTGTCCCGGCTGAGTGGCGGGTGCCCGTGCAGGATGGCGGAGGCGGTGCGGGCGCTGGAGGTGCTGGGCGTCCCCCCGGACGTGGAGGAGGAGCTGCTGGTGCTGTATTTCGAGAACAGGCGCCGCTCGGGGGGCGGCCCCGTGCTGGACTGCAGGCGCCAGGGCAGCCGCGCCGTCCTGACCTTCGAGAGCCCCGAGGGTGAGTGTGGGGCACACGGGCACCGAGCAGGGACATGCGTGCGGGCCTGGGGGCTTAGCCCCCCTCCCTCGGGCCCCTCCTGGGCTGGGAGCACCCACACCGCAGCTGGGGGTGGGGGCAGCTCCCTGGCCTGGCCTGGGCTGGCCCGAGCTGGCGGGGCAGTGCCGGGGAGGCCCTGGAGGAGCGGAGCCGCTGGCGTGTGGGATGGGGCAGCCCCTCCTTGCTGTGCAGGGCAGCGGGGCTCACGGTGTCCGTCTCTCCCTCCCAGATGCACAGAGGGTCCTTGCCAAGCCCAGCCACACCCTGCAGGACACTGGGCTGGCAGTTCGCCCAGCTGCCCCACAGGATTATGGGAAGGTTCTTCTCCGGGGCCTGAACCCCCAAACCGACGGCAGCGTCCTGGAGCTCTACGTGGAGTATGTGCTGAACTGCGAGAGCGGCCGCTATACCATCCACCGCAGCCCAGCCGGGGACCAAGCCCTGGTGCAGCTGCCAGAGCCGCTCAGTGACTCAGGTAGGGGCTGGCCCCCAGCTGGGGCTGACGGGGGGAGGCAGTGGCCGGAGGAGCCTGCCTCGAGGCCACACCTCATTTCTTGGGGTCTACAGGAGGCAGCAGGTGTGGGGGAGGCTCCAGGGGCCATCATGGAGTTTGGAGAGCAGCTAAAGATGTAGATTAACAACCAGATGGTTTGCTTGTCTGTCAGAAGCCAGAAATCGGGCCTGCTGGGTCCGCAGGGGACCCATCAGCAAAGCCCAGTGATTTCTTTGCTCAGTGCTCACCGCAGAGCATGTTGGGAAGGTTTCTGCCCCTGATCTCCTCTCCCCTTTGCCTGGTCTGCACCTAAAACTGAAATCGACCTAGCTTCGTTGCTCAGGGCTGTGGGAAATCTCCTGCCCTCTGTGTCATTAGCTGACCTACCCCCATACAGCCAGCTAGGTCAATGGAAGAATTCCCTGGCTGTGCTGGAGCAGTGCCGCTGTAGTGTAGACACGCCCCTGTAACGGAGGTCAGGCGCTCTCATAGATCGGGGTGTCAGGAGGGGTGCTGGAGCAAACTGAGACTCTAAGGAGCAGTAAGCCACTAGCCCCGCTGGTCCAGTCAAGAGCTGGGAAAGAGTTTAAGTCTGAAGTAGCTGAGCTTCTGTCAAAATTATATAATCTCACTCAAACCAGCTGCTGTTCCAGAGGCTAGTTGGGGAGCAGGTGTTCTACTTATTCTTTTAAAAGGCTCTAGGAGAGATTCAGGGTGTTCGAGACTAGTTTTAAGGTAGGGCTTACTGGAGTCACAGAACCCCGGGAAGTTCAATATGTGACAGGGTCTCGCCAGCGCAGGTGCTGCGAATGGGAAGAGCAGCTCACTGGGCTCTTAGAGTTCTTCGGCTGTTTCAGTCAAGAAGCAACTAAAGGAGAATGCAGATGATGACATACTTGTATTTGGACTTTCTAAAGGCCTTAGCCAAGGTCCCGCACAAGAGGCTGCTGGAGAAGCTGAGTCGTCATGGAGCGAGAGGCAAACTATGCTCATGAATCGGAACCTAGCTAGGAGACAGAAAGCAAAGCCTGGGGATTCAGCAATCCCATGGCCAGAAGTGACCACTGTGGTCATCTAGTCCAATCTCCACTCCAGACATCTGCCCCCACAGAAGCTAAACGATCCATTTGGATCATGGCCTAAGGTTCATGGCAGGAGTCTTAAGGCTCAAAACATAATAAAATGTAACATCCTGGGTGGGCGGGGGGAACACCGCAGCAGCCCACCAAGGTAGCATTTAATTTTAGAAAGGGGGACTACCCAGAAAGGAGGAGGTTAGTTAAACAGAAATTAAAGGGTACAGCACCAAAAGTGAAATCCCTGCAAGCAGCTTGGAAACTTTTTAAAGACACCATAACAGAGGCTCAACTTAAATCTATACCCCAAATTAAAAACCACAAAGAACCAAAAAAGTGCTGTGTTACTTTGTTGTTTAGCCATGAGAGGCCAAAAGGCATCCTTTTAAAAAGCGGAAGTTTAATCCTATTGGGAAAAATAGAGAGGAGCATAAACTCTGGCAAGCGAAGTGTAAAAATATAATTAGGAGGGCCAAAAAAGAACTTGAAAAACTTTTTGAGTCTTTGGCTAGCTGTAACAGCAAAAATTTTAAGAACGTTAGAAGCAGGAAGCCTGCTAAACAGCCAGTGGGGCCACTGGACAATCGAGATGCTAAAGGAACACTCAAGGGGGATAAGGCCACTGCAGAGAAACTAAATGAATTCATAAGAATGGCCATACTGGGTCAGACTAAAGGTTCATCTAGCCCAGGGGTGGCTAATCTGAGCCTGAGCGACAGGTAGAATTTACCAATGTACATTGCCAAAGAGCCACAGTAATACGTCAGCTCCCCCCACTCCCAGCGCCTCCCACCCACCGGCAGCCCCACTGATCAGCACCTCTCCCTCCCTCCCCGCACCTCCCAAGCAGCTGTTTCGTGGTGTGCAGGAAGCTGGGGATGGGGAGGGGAGGAGCGAGGGCATGGCAGGCTCAGGGGAGGCCGTGGGAAGAGGTGGAGTGGGGGCAGGGCCTGTGGCAGAGCCAGGGGTTGAGCAGTGAGCAACCCCCCCCCCCCCCCCGGCACATTGGAAAGTTGCTGGCTGTGGCTCCCGCCCCGTAGTCGGTGCCTACACAAGAAGCCGCATATTAATTTCTGAAGAGGCGCATGTGGCTCCGGAGCCACAGGTTGGCTACCCCTGATCTAGCCCAGTCTCCTGTCTGCCGACAGTGGCCAAAGCCAGGTGCCCCAGAGGGAATGAACAGACCAGGGAATCATCGAGTGATCCCTCCACTGCCGCCCACTCCCAACCTCTGGCAAACAGAGTTTAGGGACACCATCCCTGCTCATCCTGGCTAATAGCCATTGATGGACCTGTCCTCCTTCGTCGGGAGATATGACTGAGGTCTGTAAAATTCTTGTTTTCGGTGCTTTTTTTTCTTAAATTGTCCTTCTCATCCTTTATCTTGTTGTTTCATCAAGTTGCTCAGGGAGTTATCCCATGCTGGTTTTGATCACAGCTATCTTGTCCCCATTGATAGGTGCCAGAGTAGCAGCTGTGTTAGTCTGTATCCGCAAAAAGAACAGGAGTACTTGTGGCACCTTAGAGACTAGCCAATTTATTTGAGCATAACCTTTCGTGAACTACAGCTCACTTCATCGGATGCATTCAGTGGAAAATACAGTGGGGAGATTTATATACACAGAGAACATGAAACAATGGGTGTTACCTTACACACTGTAATGAGAGTGATCAGGTAAGGTGAGCTATTACCAGCAGAAGGGGGGGGAAGGGAACCTCTTGTAGTGATAATCAAGGTGGGCCATTTCCAGCAGTTAACAAGAACATGTGAGGAACAGTGCAGGGGAGGGAGGGGAATAAACATGGGGAAATAGTTTTACTTTGTGCAATGACCCATCCACTCCCAGTCTTTATTCAAGCCTAAGTTAATTGTATCCAGTTTGCAAATTAATTCCAATTCAGCAGTCTCTCGTTGGAGTCTGTTTCTGAAGTTTTTTTTGTTGAAGAATTGCCACTTTTAGGTCTGTAATCAAGTGACCAAAGAGACTGAAGTGTTCTCCGACTGGTTTTTGAATGTTATAATTCTTGACGTGAAACTAGACAAGCCATTTACAACACACACTTTGCTTCTATACAAAAGAAAAAGGACACTAAACTATCTAAACTACTACATGCCACAAGGGGCCACAACAGTGGTTCCCTTAAACCACCCAGCAATATTGTTAATTTATCCAACTACAGTCTTAGCCTAGCAGAAGAATCTCTCCTATCTTGGGGCCTCTCCTTCTGCCCCTCCACCACCATGAACATGATACAGTTCTGTGGTGACCTGGAATCCTATTTTCGACGTCTCCGACTCAAGGAATATTTTCCACACACCTCTGAACAACATACTAACCCACAGAGACCTTCCTAGCAACACTACAAAAAGACAGGTTTCAGAGTAACAGCCATGTTAGTCTGTATTTCCAAAAAGAAAAGGAGTACTTGTGGCACCTTAGAGACTAACCAATTTATTTGAGCATGAGCTTTCGTGAGCTACAGCTGAGCTGTAGCTCACGAAAGCTCATGCTCAAATAAATTGGTTAGTCTCTAAGGTGCCACAAGTACTCCTTTTCTTACTACAAAAAGAAGGATTCTGGGTGGACTCCTCCCGAAGGTCGAAAAAAAGACTGGACTTCTACATGGAGTGCTTCCGCCGACGTGCACGGGCTGAAATTGTGGAAAAGCAGTATCACTTGCCCCCTAACCTCAGCCATACAGAACACAATGCCATCCGCAGCCTCAGAAACAACTCTGACATCATAATCAAAAAGGCTGACAAAGGAGGTGCTGTAGTCGTCATAAATAGGTCGGAATATGAACAAGAGGCTGCTCGGCAGCTCTCCAATACCACTTTCTACAAGCCATTACCCTCTGATCCCACTGCGGGTTTCCAAAAGAAACTACAGCATTTGCTCAAGAAACGCCCTGAAAAAGCAGAAGAACAAATCCGCACAGACACACCCCTGGGATCCCGACCTGCGGTATTCTGTCTGCTACCCAAGATCCATAAACCTGGAAATCCTGGACGTCCCATCGTCTCAGGCATTGGCACCCTGACAGCAGGATTGTCTGGCTATGTAGACTCCCTCCTCAGGCCCTATGCTACCAGCACTCCCAGCTATCTTCGAGACACCACTGACTTCCTGAGGAAACTACAGTCCATCGGTGATCTTCCTGATAACACCATCCTGGTCACTATGGATGTAGAAGCCCTCTACACCAACATTCCACACAAAGATGGACTACAAGCCGTCAGGATTCTATAAGTTTTTAAGGTCAGGCTTGACAAAGCCCTGGCTGGGATGATTTAATTGGGGATTGGTCCTGCTTTGATCAGGGGGTTGGACTAGATGACCTCCTGAGGTCCCTTCCAACCCTGATATTCTATGATTCTATGAGGAACAGTCTCCCCAATAATATCACGGCAAACCTGGTGGCTGAACTTTGTGACTTTGTCCTCACCCATAACTATTTCACATTTGGGGACAAGGTATACCTTCAGATCAGCGGCACTGCTATGGGTACCCGCATGGCCCCACAGTATGCCAACGTTTTTATGGCTGACTTAGAACAACGCTTCCTCAGCTCTCGTCCCCTAAAGCCCCTACTCTACTTGTGCTATATTGATGACGTCTTCATCATCTGGACCCATGGAAAAGAAGCCCTTGAGGAATTCCACCATGATTTCAACAATTTCCATCCCACCATCAACCTCAGCCTGGGCCAGACCACACAAGAGATCCACCTCCTGGATAATGAGCGATGGTCACATAAACACCACCCTATGTCGGAAACCTACTGACCACTATGCCTACCTACATGCCTCCAGCTTTCACCCAGACCACACCACACGATCCATCATCTACAGCCAAGCTCTACAATACAACTGCATTTGCTCCAACCCCTCAGACAGAGACAAACACCTACAAGATCTCTATCAAGTATTCTTACAACTATAATACCCACCTGCTGAAGTGAAGAAACAGATTGACAGAGCCAGAAGTTACCTACCACAGGACAGGCCCAACAAAGAAAATAACAGAACGCCACTAGCCCTCACCTTCAGCCCCCAACTAAAACCTCTCCAACACATCATCAAGGATCTACAACCTATCCTGAAGGACGACCCATCACTCTCACAGATCTTGGCAGACAGGCCAGTCCTTGCTTACAGACAGCCCCCCAACCTGAAGCAAATACTCACCAGCAACCACACACCAGAACCACTAACCCAGGAACCTATCCTTGCAACAAAGCCCGTTGCCAACTGTGCCCACATATCTATTCAGGGGACACCATCAAAGGGCCTAATCATATCAGCCACACTATCAGAGGCTCGTTCACCTGCACATCTACCAATGTGATATATGCCATCATGTGCCAGCAATGCCCCTCTGCCATGTACATTGGTCAAACTGGACAGTCTCTACGTAAAAGAATAAATGGACACAAATCAGACGTCAAGAATGATAACATTCAAAAACCAGTCGGAGAACACTTCAATCTCTTTGGTCACTCGAAAAACAGACTCCAAGGAGAGACTGCTGAATTGGAATTAATTTGCAAACTGGATACAATTAACTTAGGCTTGAATAAAGACTGGGAGTGGATGGGTCATTACACAAAGTGAAACTGTTTCCCTATGTTTATTCCTCCCCCCCCCCCCCCCCCCTGTTCCTGACATGTTCTTGTCAACTGCTGGAAATGGCCCGCCTTGATTATCACTACAAAAGGTTCCCTCCGCCCCCCAATAGCTCACCTTATCTGATCACTCTGGTTACAGTGTGTATGGTAACACCCATTGTTTCATGTTCTCCGTGTATATAAATCTCCCCACCTTATTTTCCACAGTGTGCATCCGATGAAGTGAACTGTAATTCACGAAAGCTTATGCTCAAATAAATTTGTTAGTCTCTAAGGTGCCACAAGTCCTCCTTTTTCTTTTTATTGATAAGTGCCTATCTCATCTTTAGAGTCGTCAATCTGCCCTCCTCTGACATTTCAATAGGGGCGTGTTCCAGCCTCCTGGCGCCCTCGTGTCTGTCTCCGGTGCTCCCTAAAATATCTGGTTCAGCAATGGCCATCACACTTACCTCGTAACACACATTCCTCATTCACGCACAAAACAGAATTGATTTGCACAGAACATTTTGAATAGGAACATCAAGTTGCAATGCCAAAGAAAACAATCATGGCATTCTTTTACTTATTTAGAAATACTAAAGCTACAACAAAGGTCTGTTACTGCCTTGAAATCAGTCCAGACACACAAATTTTGGCTGATGCATCTCTACCAATGGTGTATCAGGCTATTCCTTTCTGCTGTTCAAAAAGGGTGGCTGGCAGGATATGGTCAAATCATACATCAATCATTTAATACATGCTACATTATTGTCTCATTATTCTTTACCCTTCATTCTAAATCGTACAAAATACAAACATAAAATTCTACTGCTACACTCTCATGGATCAGTAACTGGTTAAAAGATAGGAAACAAAGGGTAGGAATAAATGGTCAGTTTTCAGAATGGAGAGAGGTAAATAGTGGTCCCCAAGGGGCCTGTTCTGGGCCCCAGTCCTATTCAACATATTCGTAAATGATCTGGAAAAAGGGATAAAAGGGACTGGATTTTTCCAGTGAGGTGGAAAAATTTTCAGATGATACAAAACTACTCAAGATAGTTAAGTCCCAGGTAGACTATGAAGAGTTACAAGGGGATCTCACAAAACTGGGTGACTGAGCAACAAAATTGCAGATGAAATTCAGTGTTGATAAATGCAAAGTAGTGCACATTGGAAAATATAATCCCAACTATACATACAAAAGTGATGGGGTCTAAATTAGCTGTTACCCTTCAAGAAAGATCTCTGAGTCATTGTGGAGAGTTCTCTGGAAACATCCACTCAATGTGCAGCAGCAGTCAAAAAAAGCAAACAGTGTTGGGAATCATTAAGAAAGGGATAGATAAGAAGACAGAAAATATCCTATTGACTCTCTATAAATCCATGGTATGCCCACACCTTGAATATCTCAAACCAGATATCTCAAACAAGATATATTGTAATTGGAAAAAGTACAAACAAGGGCAACAAAAATGATGAGGGGGATGGAATGGCTTCCATATGCAGAGAGATTAAAAAGACTGGGATTTTCCAGCTTGGAAAACAGATGACAGAGGTCTGTAGAATCATGATTGGTGTGGAGAAAATAAATAAGGAAGTGTTATTTACTCCTCATAACACACGAACTAGGCGTCACCCAATGAAATTAACAGGCAGCAGGTTTAAAACAAAAGGAAGTATTTTTTTCACACAACACACTGTCAACCTGTGGAACTCCTTGCCGGAGGATGTTGTGAAGGCCAAGATTCAAAATATAACAGGATTCAAAAAAGAACTAAAGTTCATGGAGGATAGGTCCATCGATGGCTATTTTGGTCAATTTTGCTGTCACAGAATTTTTAAAATAGTAAACTTCATGATTTCAGCTATTTAAATCTGAAATTTCACGGTGTTGTAACTGTAGGGGTCCCGACCCAAAAGGGGCTCGTGGAGGGATCACAAGGTTATTGTAAGGAGGTCGTGATATTGCCACGTTTACTTCAGCGCTGCTGCTGATGGTGGCTCTTCCTTCGGAGCTGGGCAGTGGGAAAGCGGCAGCTGCTGGCTGGAAGCCCACCTCTGAAGGCAGCAGCGCAGAAGGGAGGGTGGCCTGGTTTGGTGCTGCCACCCTGACTTTGCTGCTGGCAGGGTGCTGCCTTCAGAGATGGGTGCCCGGCCAGCAGCCACTGCTCTCAGGCCGCCCAGCGCTGAAGGGAGCGCAGAAATAAGGACGGCGATATTGCAAAACCCCCCCCCATGATAACCTTGTGGACCCCCTACCAGACTCTCTCTTGGGTTTGGACTCCCAGTTGGAGAAACACTGGTCTCCCCCATGAAATCTGTATAGTACAGGGTAAAAGTACAAAAAAGACCAGATTTCACGGGGAGACCAGATTTCAGAGTCTGTGATGCGTGTTTCATGGCTGTGAATCTGGTAGGGCCTTAGCTGTTAGCCGGGACGGGCAGGGCTGGTGTCTCTAACCTCTGTCTGCCAGAAGCCGAGAATGGGCGACAGGATGGATGACTTGATGATTCCCTGTTCTGTTCATTCCCTCTGGGGCACTGGGCATTGGCCACTGTCGGCAGACGGATACTGGGCTAGAGAGACCTTTGGTCTGACCCAGTCTGGCCGTTCTTACGTTTAGGTTCCTAGGTGTTTTATTGGATCTGGTCAGGAGTTCTCAGTCAATGACTTTCCATTGGAAAATTCACTTTCCACAAAATCATTTTCTGTTGGAAACTGGTTCCCAGCTCTGCGGCTCCCCCTCTCCTCAGAAGCTCGGGCTTCCTCGCTGTGGGGCGGCCGGCCACTGGCCTGCCCAGAGCCAGGGCTCTCTGGTATTGCAGGCAGTGCAGGGAGACTCCGAAACATGTTGAAAACTCCAGTGGAAATGTCCTTTTGACTTGTTCCGAAGCAAACTGGGGCGTTCCTGCTCCACGGAAAGCTCCAGCTTTGGGCTGTTCTAACTTTTTTGCCGGTTGTGGGAGTTCCCGAGGAAGAGGATTCGGGTTTCCAGCCAGCTCTACAAACTGGGGGCGAGCAGGGCGGTGGCGCAACCTAGCGAGCCAAGTCCATGGACAAGCAGGATCCCCACTTGGGACAGTTCAGGCTGGAGGGGAGGTTCAGCGTCTGGCCCTGGGGTTTAAGCCCATCACTGCCTGCTAGCCTGCAGGCTGATTCCTAACTAGGGGGGCAGCTTGTCTCCCATCTGCACCTGCGGCGTTCTCGCACCTTCTTCTGCGGCACCTGGGGCTGCCGCTTCAGAGGCAGGAGCCCAGGCGAGCTGGACCTTGGCTCTGACCCTCTCTGCCTGTCCTCGGTTCACCCACCCCAGGCAAATGGCTTAGAAACTAAAGAGGTGACGGGAGCGACCCCTTCCCAGCACTGTTGGCTCCTGCGTGTCTGGCCATCACCTGACCGAGCTAGGGAGAGGGCTAGTCTCTGTCACTGTGCTCCCCTGCTCCTTCGATCGCTCTGGGGAAGCCCGGGATGGGCACCTGCTGCTGGCTGGAGTCTGCCCTCTCCAGGCGCTGGGTGGCTTGGTCCCTCCTGGCTCGGGAGTGCCTGGTGCTCGCAGTGTCTGGGAAGCAGGTGGCAGAAGTGGGAGCTTGCAGCATCTCTGAGCTCTGCTTATGGCCAGGCTTAGCCATCGTGACCAGGCGTTCTTGATCTCAGAAAGTAAGTGGGGTGACCTGGAGCCTGGCCAGCTGCCTCCCCGCAGGCCCTCCCTCCAGCAGATGCCCCCAGGAGCCCTGAGGGGGCTCTCTCCCCGCTCTGCCCTTGCCAGTTCTGTGATGTGGTGCTGGGTGGGGGTGTCTCTTTCGCTCTGCCCTGGGCAGGGCTGTGGGGCAGGGGTGGGGATCTCTGCCCTGGGCTGGGCTGGGCTGGGAGGATCTCTTCCCCTCTGCCCTGGGCCGGGCTGGGCTGCGCTGGGCGGATCTCTTCCCCTCTGCCCTGGGCCGGCGGTGGGGGGATCTCTTCCCCTCTGCCCTGGGCCGGCGGTGGCAGGCTCTTTGTGTTGGCAGAGCTCCTGGCCGTGGAGGAACGCGTGCGCCGGCGGCTGCTGGACGGGGCGCCGCTGGCCGTGGAGTGGGTGCAGCAGACAGACAGCGTGCTGGTGTGGAGCCGGGGCACCGGGCTGAGCGGGGATCTGCTGGAGCTCTACTTTGAGAACAAGCGGAGCGGCGGGGGCAGCGTGCAGGCCGTGAGGGTGCTGGCAGGGGGCAGGGCGGCCGTCGTCTCCTTCCAGGACCGGGCAGGTGCATGGGGCTGGGGCAGGGCGGGATCCGCGCTCAGCTGTCCGCTGGGGCTCCGGGGCTGGAGGGCTCCTGGAGGCTGGTCCAGGCGGGCCGTGGAGGGGGGCATCTGCTGTGAATGTGGGCGGGTGCCTCCAGCCTGGCACTGGCCCCTGGCCCAGCTCACACAGACCCTTCAGTGCTGCAGGCAGAGAGGCAGGGGCAGGGTCCGGGTCCGGAGCCCCCCTCCGGGGCAGGGGCAGGGTCCGGGTCCGGAGCCCCCCTCCGGGGCGGGGGCAGGGTCCGGAGCTGGGTCTGGCTGAGGTTGTTGGGGCAGTCTGGGTGTGTCCTCCCGGGGCGGTCTGGGTGTGTCCGTCTTCCCAGGCAGCTCTCGACCCCACGTGCCCGTTTCGCTGCCCTGCAGCTGTGCAGCGGGTGCTGGAGAAGCCCCACAGGCTCCAGGAGAGCGACCTGGACCTCTGCCCCTACTACGACTTCCTGGAGCCCCCCGACCGCCCCCCGGAGGAGGGAGCCGAGGCCCCTCCAGGGGAGGCAGCGGCAGAGGAGGGCGGGCCCCCGGCCATCTGCGTGAGCGTTGAGGACGCCGTGAAGCGGCAGCTGCTGGAGTCCAGCGGGGCCCTGCCGGAGCTGCAGGCTGTCTTCCCGGAGCTGAAGCTGCGGCTGGAGGAGAGCGGGGCCTGGATCTCGGGCGGGGATGAAGCCCGGCGGCAGCAGCTGCAGGAGCGGCTCCTGGGCACCCTGCAGGGGATGGGCCAGGAGCTCCTGCCGCTCCCGGCCCAGACCCTCTGCTTCCTGCAGCGCGGCGACGTGCGGGAGGAGGTGGAGCAGCTGCTGGGCAGCCAGGGCTTGCCGGCCTGCTGCGCGCCCAGCGGGAGCGCGCTGAGCGTCACGGCGCTGAGCCCTGCGGCCGCCCGCCAGGCCGCCTCCTCGCTGAGCGCGGCCCTGAGCCCCTTCTGCCTGGCCGTGTCGGCACAGCACCTGCACGCCCTGGCCTCGCCCCGCTGGGAGCAGCTCCAGGCCTCGCTGCACTGCTGCTCCGTGCGCCTGGCCCCGGGCGGCGAGCACCTGCAGGCCCTGACGCTGCGCGGCCTGGAGCAGGAGAACAGGGAGAAGCTGCAGGGCTTCCTGCAGGACGCCGCGCTGGGCGAGAGCCTGGTGCCCATGGAGCCGGGGATGCTACGCTACCTGCAGCTGCACTACCAGGAGCTGCTGGCCGGCATCGCCGAGGTCACACTCCTGCCGCTGGAGGGCACCGACGTCGCCGGCTTCAGGGTGAGCGGCCGGCCGCCCCGGCAGTGCCGGCCATGGGCGGCGGGGCGGGATGGCCCCGGGCCCCCACGGCTGTTTCTGGGCGGCCTGCGGGCTGTTGCCCCATGGCCCCCTGCGGCTCGTTTAGGGCCACGCAGCCTGGGGGGAGGACAGGTCTCAGCAGCCAGTGCAGGCAGGTCTCGTGGGTCACGCCAGCACTGCATTCTGGGAGCTGTAGTCCGCACCAAGCTGGATTGAAAGGGGTGGAGGTTGCAGCCAGCTTCATTCACCGTGACCCTTGGCATGTTCCCCCCCCAACACCCCACAGGGGAGCTGGCACTACATGTCGTCCCCAACACCCCCCGGGGGGGAGCTGACGCTGCACGTGTTGTCCCCCTCCCATGCCCTGCGGGCGCGGAGTAGGGATGGTGCTGCACCCCTCCCAGCACCCCCGGGTGCAGAGTCTACCAGTGCCTCACGCCATCTCTTTTCTTGCAGCTGAGCGGGGAGGCGGGCGCGTGCCGGGCAGCGGCAGAGTTCCTGCAGAGCCTGCTGGGCACCATCAGCTCCCAGCCGGTGACCCTGCGGCACCCCGGCATCGCTCGCTTCCTGCTGGACGAGCGAGGCCAGAGCATCCTCCGGGAGCTGGAGAGCCGCTTCCAGTGCGTGATTGGGCTGGAGCAGGTCCACTGGAGCCCCCCGTATACACAGGTACGGCCGTGGCTCCTGGGGCGGGGCTCCGGCTGGGACCCAGAATGAGCACAGCCGGGGCCTTGCTCCTCCCCCCTGCCTGCCAGGCTCAGTGCGGGCCCACTGGGACAGGGTGGGCAGCCAGCGGCAGGTGGGTGAGCTGGGCAGTGGGTCTGGAGAGGGGCGTGCAGCCGCGGGGGTGGTGCAGGTCTCGGGGAGCCTGCAGGCAGGGGCAGCCAGATGAGGGCGGGTAGAGAGCTGGGGCGGGGGGCTGGTCTGGGCAGAGGCCGTTGGCGGTTGGGTGCTGGCAGGGAGCCGGGTCCCTGGCTGGTGTCTGCAGCACTGACGTCTGTCCTGCCTGCCTGTCTCAGCAGGACCTGGAGCTGCCCGAGGAGCCCGTTCCTCTGAGCTGCCGCCGAGACTCCCTGCCCACCGCCCAGCTGCTCACACGGCTGGAGCCGCCCGACGGCGCCTCCACTGACTGGTGCAGCACCAACCTAGGTAGGCCCACTCCCGTGGACTCGGACCCCCAGCGGGCTCTGTCCTGTGCCTGGGGGAGGGCAGGGGCTGGAACCCAGCGCGTGGGCAGGCGAGGTAAAGGGCAGACCTTCCTGGCTCTGTGCGGCTGGGGTGGGTTAGCAGTGGTCAGGGGTCCCATCCTGCAGCCCCCGCCCCCCTGGGGGGCGCACTCAGGGCCAGGGTGGCAGCACCATTCGCCTGTGCTTGCCGTGTGAGCCCCGGCACCGTTGTGGTGGCTGGCAGCTTGTCGCCGCCTCTCTGGGCCAGGCAGCCGGCCCCAGGGCCCGCCCCGCAGTGTGGAACCCGGCTCTGGCCCCCCTGCCGGCAGCATGGCTGGGCCCTGGGCACCGGCCGCGGCGGGAGGACTCCCCTACCCGTCCACCCTGGCAAATCTTCCCCTTGCTCGGCTGTGCAGAGTGGGTCCGGGGCAGAGGCTAGGCCTCCCCTCCCCCAGCACCTGGGCTGCCCCGAGGCCTGGGCGCTGCCTGTCTGACCTGCTGTCGCCCCACAGAGGAGATCAAGGGCCTGCTGGCCGCCCTGGAGCCCGGAGAAGCGGCGGAGGCTCCTCAGCTGGCCGCCCCCACTGCCGGGGAGGCCCCGGGCTCGGCAGCGAGCAGCCCCGAGGAGGATCTGTACACCGTGGGGGAGCCTGGCGCTGCTGAGGGGCAGGAGGAGGCGGGGCGTGGCGGGGAGCGGAGGGCTCTGGCAGACGGCGGCGAGGAGGAGGAGGAGCCGTGCTGCGGCCCCGAGGCCGCCGTCCAGTCGGAGCGCAGCGTGGAGGAGGCGGCGCAGCTGCTGCTGGCCATCCAGCAGTCCATGGACAGCCAGCGCTGGGAGGAGGAGCAGCTGCAGCGCGCCACGGAGCTGTCCCTGCGCTCCTACGAGCGGGAGCAGCACCAGGCCTCGGCGGAGCCCGCGCCTGACCGCGGCCTGCAGGCCGCCCTGCAGGAGTCCCTGGAGGAGGCGCTGTGCGTGGCCGGCTCCGCTCGGCTCACCATCTACGCGGCCTACGAGCGGGACGTGAGCGCGCTGCCGGGGCAGCTGGAGCAGGCGCTGCGGGCGCAGCGGGGCCAGGAGACGGTGGTGAGCGAGGGCCTGCGGGCCCTGCCCTCGCGCTGCCGCGGGTCCCTGGCCCAGCTGCAGCGCCAGCATGCCGTGCGCATCTCCCTGCAGGACGCCACGGCCACCGTGCACGGCTTTGCCGACTACACGGCCCGCGCCGCCCGCGACCTCGCCCGGCTCCTCCCCCGCCTGCTGCAGGCCCGGCGCCCGCTCGGGGAGCCGGCCGCGCGCTGGGTGCGCTGGGAGCCCCCCGGCGTCGCCGCCCCCTACTCCTCAGAGGCCAGCGCCCTGCTGGAGCAGGCCTGGCGCCAGCGCCGGACGCGGCTGGAGGTGCTCTTTGACGGCAGGCCCTTCGCCATCGACTTTGAGCGCATGGAGGAGTACGACATCGGCAGTGCCCGCACCCTGGCCATCTCGCGCACCGAGCCCCCGGCCCCGGAGAACGGCCGCCCCACAGGTGCGTGCTCCCAGCCCCGCTGCTGCGGCCTCCGGCCATGGGGGGCTCGGCACTGTCCCGCGGGGCCCGCCTGGGTAGTTCTCCGGCCTGTCGTGCAGGCAGTCAGACCAGCCAGGCCTTGGCAGCTGGTGGGTCCCATGGGGTGGAGTCAGGGTTCCAGGCAGGTTGTCCAGTCTGAGCTCCCCTTCTCGCACCCCACCCCTACCCCCTGCATGCTAGCCCAGCGCCCGGAATGAGAGCAGAGACTCTCACGCCGGCTGGGTACCCTGCGGGCTGGGCCCCCTGCGGGCTGGGCCATGGGTAGCAAACACCGAGGGGCACCAGTGCCCGAGGCCCCACAGTGGCAGGGGAAGGACGAGGTGAGAGACCCCCAGGTAATTCTGGCAAGGGACCCACACGCTGCAGGAGAAGGCGATCCCTCTCCCCCCAACCCCAGGTCCCTGCCAGTCTGAGCTGGGGAAATTCCCTCCCAGCCCCACACAAGCCGTCAGTCAGCCCCTGGGCATGTGAGTGAGAACCAGCCAGCCAAGCGCCTGCAGGCTGCTCGCAGCCCCGGCCCGGCCCAGCCAATGTCCCAGCTCTAGCTGGGGCCACCCCTGACCTTCGGAGGACAGAGCTGATACAACCCAGAGTATCGGGGGGAGGGAACCAGACCCCCTGAGGAACATGAGACAAACTGGAGTGAGCCCCTCCCCCTACCAGCACAACCACCCCTTGTCTCGTCTGGTCCCATCGGTTACATTCTCCAGCTGTTTGCCCCACAGCTCTGGCTGGGAGGCTGCTCCAGAATCTCCCCCCTCGAATGCTCAGAAACCTTCTGATTTCCAGCCGGAATTTGTTCCTGGCCCGTTTCTTCCCATTTGTTCTTGTGCCAACGTTGTCCTTTAGCTTCACCAGCTCTTTGCCCTGCTTAGCTTTTCCCCGATGTATTTATACAGAGCAATCCGCTCCCTGCTTCAGCCTGGCCAGACAAGCCAACGTCTGCGCCCATCAGACTGGCCCTCCATGCCTCTGCTAATCCACATAGCTCCTCTCTGCACCTGGTCCAGCTGGAGCGCACCATTCCTGAGCTTGGGGTCCAGAACAGTGCAGTGTCCAACCCGCGTCTCCTCCGGGCCTCGCTCCATGGCAGTAACACTGTTGCTCTGTCTCTTGGCTAGAAAGTCCTTGCCTGCTACATCCCTGGCCTACTTTTCCCTGTTTCACAGCCCATCACGCTGGTGGCTCGTAGCCATCCTGTGCTCAGCCCCCAGCCCAGGTCTCTCCTCTGTCACCGCCAGCTGACAGGCCCCCGGCCTGGAGAAGACATTTTTATCATTAGACCCTAAATGCCTGCCTTTGCGCTTTGTACTATTGAATTTCATCCTCTTCCTGTCGCTCCGGATCTTTCTGGAAACTTCCGATCTCCCTCTGCCCCCCAGATTGACCAGGCCTCCCGGCTTCCCATCGGCCCATTTCATTCGCACGCTCCTGCTGCTGAAGGAGACTGGGCCCCAGGCCGATCCTGGAGACGCTCCCCAGGTCACCTCCCTGCGGGGCGATAGTTCATCTTGCAGCACAAGCCTTCGGCCAGGTCCTCCCCACTGTACCGGGCTGCCACTGAGCCCCAGCTTCCCGAATGTAACTCGCTTTCCTGTGCCAAAGGCTGCCCTGAAATCCCAGTGTATCGGGTCTGCCATATTCCTTCCCTGAGCAAAGAACGGAGTTGTTCTGAGGGGAACAGCTGAGTCCGGCCTGGGCTGCCTTGGTAAGCCCAGCTGCATTACGGCCTCTTTCCCACGGACCTGCAGGAATTTCGTTCTGCTTTCCTCCCTCGTTGATTCTAAAGCCTCGTGTGCTTCCAAGGGCAGACTAACGGGTCTGTATTTGCCCGGGTCGCTTTGCGTCCCTTTCTTAAATACCTGCACGACATCAGCTGTTCTCCAGGCACATGGTCCCACCCCCACTAGCTGGATTTCTTACCACGCCTTGCTCCCGGACTCGCAGCGTCCTGTGCCGGTTCTCTCGGTCCTCTGGGACAGCCATGACCCAGTGCCCCGGAGCTGAGCACATTAAACCCTGCAAAATTTTCTTCCACCACAGCGGTCGGAGTTTCCTTTTGTGCCGCCATCCAGCCTCATGCGCATGGTCCCTGTTGTTGTCCGGATTGAAAACCCAGCCACAATGTTCGTACCTAGAGTGTCTTTAATCTCCTTCCCAGCCCCACCGCAGGTGGCCCAGCCTCATCCTTCCTTATTCCTTTATTATTGAGGGGACTAAAAAACCCTCTTATTGTGTGTGAATGTCCTTGGCAAGAGCTAATTCAGCTTCACTTCCAGCAGTCCTCTCTTTATCCCTGCTCTTCCCAACCCCCACAATGTACCTTTCCTTGCTGATTGACCCCCTTTTTCACTCCCCAGGGACTCTTTGCTGACTCCCAACAACTGTGTGAGGTGGGCCTGGAGCCCTTCCCTACAAGCTTCTTCCCATTACTGGGAATGCCAGTTGCAGATGATTTTGTAGAGTGATTGGAAGAAATTCCAAGCTGTCTTTTCATTTATTTCGTTGGGCTCTTCAGTCCAGCCGACTTCGCTAACAAACTCCCTTCGTTTCCCATAGTCTGTCTTTCGGAAATCGAAAACCAGAGTTGACGGCCTCGTTTTGATTCAGTTTAAATTAAATGGAAAGATCTTCAGCACATGACCACTCGATCTGAGGTTCATTTTCTGTGACCAGCTCTTCTGTAATGCCCTTGCTACTTACCAAAATGGAGTGCAAAATTGCATCACCTCTTGTTGGTTCAGTGACTATTTGATGTAGAAATCTGTCATCTATCACATCCAGGAGTAAGTGGGACCTACCAGTGTTAAGAACATAAGAACGGCCAGACTGGATCAGACCCATGGTCCATCTAGCCCAGGGTCCGGTCCCTGGCAGAGGCCAGTGCGAGATGCTTCAGGGGGAATGAACAGAACAGAACAATTGTTGAGTGAGCCATCCACTGTCATCCAGTCCCAATTTGTCAGAGGTTTCGGGACACCCAGAGCAAGGGGTTGTATCTCTGAGCATCCTGGCTAATAGCCATTGATGGACCTATCGTCCAGGAACCTATCTAGTTCTTTTTTGAATCCAATTATATTTTGGCCTTCGCCACATCTCCTGGCAGAGAGTTCCACAGATTGACTGTGTGTTGTGTGACAAAATACTTCCTGTTGGTTGGTTGGTTTGTTTGTGTTACTAGCATTTATCCTCCAGTTTATATCTGTGAAGTTAGTCCTTCCTTGTGAGACAATTCCCAAGAGTGTTTCTCTCTAATGATATTAACGAGATCTCTGTCCATACCAAGGGCTGATCCTGGGGGTCTATAGCAGATCTCTAACACTGTCCCCCACGGAACCCCACAATCCCCCTTCCCCCAAAGTGATTTGGACCCAAACAGCCTGTTTTGTCCACACTGCCATTTCGTCTTCCTTTACAGCTCCGTTGCTGTGCAATGCTACTCCATCAGCCTTTCTTTCTTCTCTTCGAAACAGCCCAGGTCCACCCCTGAGCGCGATCCCACCGTGGTTCTGTAATTCCCAGTGTGATCGCCTGCATCCGTGGTTCCAGAGCCTCCGTTGTATTGCCCAGCCTCCTTGCATTCGCGTACAAGCATCTCAGCTGTGTCCCTTGGTCCTCGCCCAGTTTCCGAGGCAGATTAAGTAGGGCCCTTTCACTCACGGGAACGCCTGCCTGCTGCTGCTCCAGTCAGCGGGGGCTCCGTTCTCGTCCCCGTACTCGCACCTCCGTGAGCTGAGTTTCCTCCTCCTGCACTAAAGTCAGGCATGGAGATCTCACAGGTCTGTCCCAGCCTCCTCCCCTCACTGCAGAGCTGGAAGCCCTTCTCCTCAGTTGTGGAGCAGCCCCTCTGCGCACCCTGAGCCTTTGGGGCCATGTCGGCTCTGTCAGCCTCGCTGGCCTCATGCATGCAGAAGTCTCTGGAGTTTATTTGGTGGCTCAGAGACTGTTTTCTTCTTGTAAAGGTAAGGAGGGGGGTGGCCCTTTGATGAAGGGGCTGCCACCCTGCAAAGGCTGAGAACCCTGGGCTAGATTGTAATGGTCCCTTCTGCACTCCGTGGGTGACCCCAATGCATCGCTAGGGGGCGCTGTGCTGCAGGCAGTGGGTTGGGGGTCGACGTGGGGAGCTCTCCCCTCTCCGTCCATGCTGGCCTTGTTACCCCAGCGTGAGGCTAGGGGGCGCTGTGCTGCGGGGTGCAGGTGCTCAGTGGGGGGCGCTCTCCCCTCAGTCAGTGCTGATCCCAGTGCCCCAGCGTGAGGCTAGGGGGCGCTGTGCTGCAGCGTGCGGGGCGCTGACCCGATGCAGTGCAGGGGGGTGGGTCTGGTATCCACCTGCTGAGTGATGTCCTGTCCCCTCCCACCCCCACAGCCACGGAAGAGAAGGGCCCCGCGCTGGACCTGGACGAGGCGGTGAAGCTGGTGCCGCTGGGCCAGGGCTCGGAGGAGTTCCGCGACACCGTGCGTCGGTTCTACGACACGCTGGAGGACTTCCACAACAAGATTCGCATTGTGAAGGTATCCGGGGGGCAGCGCAGACGGGCAGATTGCTCTGCCCGCCCCAGGGCCACGGCTGTGCTGGGGGCTGGCTGTCGGATTTCGTTTGCCCATGTCCCAGCGTGCAGCACAAGGAGTGGGTGGGAGAACATTTATTCCGCGTATTGATGGGACACTGCTGCAGCCTCGTCCCCACTGGTCACCAGACAGGTGGGTGGGTGCTGGGGTTCGCCCGTCTCGCACAGGCCCCAGGCAGGTTGTGGCACGGACAGTTCCAGACCAACTAAGATGGACCCTCTCAGCCAAGCACAGTTACCCTGTGGGACTCCCTGCCACTTGATGCTGGTGCAGTCTCATTCCGAAAGGATGGGCCGTGCCTGGGACCCTGCTCCCTGTGGTCCTGTGTGCGCCCCCTGCTGGCTGCACCAGTGAGGCAGCCTGGTATCCCAGCACTCCCTGGCTGTTCTAGGCTGCCAGAAGGGGTGTTCCCCAGTCTCACCACTGCCCTGGGAGTCTGGGGCAGGGCCTGCCTGAGCCTGGGCGTGAGCTGGTACCACCCCCCCACCCAGACTCCTCAGGAGCTGCCCCTCCCCGCGGCAAAGGGGCCTGGTCTGGCTGGGCCTGGCTGACCCGTGTCCCTGCGGCAGGTGGAGAAGCTGATCCACCCGCTGCTGTACAAGCAGTACCAGCTGAAGAAGGCCTGCATGGAGAAGGCGTGCGGCCACGAGGCCGTGGAGCGCCTCCTCTTCCACGGCACCACGGAGGAAGCCAGCCAGGAGATCTGCCAGCACGGCTTCAACCGCAGCTTCTGCGGCAAGAACGGTGAGCGGGCGGGGGCGGGGGCAGCACAGGGAGGGGCCAGGCGCGTGTGGAACTCGGGGGCTCCAAGACCTTCCGTGCCCAGGAGGGAACTGATGTTTCTGGAATCGGCTCTGCCTGGCAGAGTCCGTCCCTGCTCCAGCCCTGGACACTTCTCCCAGAGTGGGGCATAGAACCCAGGAGTCCTGGCTCCCAGCCCCCCCCGCTCTAACCACTAGACCCCACTCCCCTCTCAGCTGGGGTCGGGAGCCAGGAGTCCTGGCTCCCAGGGCCGGGTTGTCCTGCTGCAGGTGGCAGCTGGCCCCCTATCCAGGCTCTTCTGTGGGTGCTGCAGCCCGGAGCCTGCTGTGCTAACCCTCTGCCTCCCTGCTCTGCAGCCACGCTCTACGGGCACGGGGTGTACTTCGCGGTGAATGCCGTGTTGTCGGTGCAGGAGCAGTACTCTCCACGCAGCGCCGACGGCAACAAGTACGTCTTCGTGGCCATGACCCTGACTGGGGACTACACGGCGGGCAGCCAGGACATGCGGGCGCCACCCCTCAAGGAGGCAGCCGAGGCCCCGCTGCGCTATGACAGCGTGGTCGACAACCCCAAGAAGCCGGCCATCTTCGTCATCTTCAATGACACGCAGGCCTATCCGCAGTACCTCATCACCTGCCAGCTCTCCAAGCCTCCGGCGCCCCACTGAGCCGCTGGGCGCAGGCCGGGCTGGGACCCAGCCCTCTGCGGGGGTTACCCTGCTCCAGCTCGCACCCTGCCTTCATGCCCCTCTCCGCTGCTCTGTGCCTGCGGCTCCCCTGCCCTGGGCCTTCCCTGTACCAGCCTGGCTGGGAGTGGAGAAGGGGCCTGGTTCTGGGCTCCTTGGCCGAGCTGTGCCCTGTGGAGAGGCCAGGGATCATCCCCTGCCCCGTGAGCAACTCTGGAGCTGCATGGCCTTGGCAGTCCACCAGGGAGCTGGGCTGCTCTGGGTCCCCAGGCTCCGTTGCATGGCAGGGCCCCCTCAAACTGGAGCTAAGGGGCACCCCATTCCCAGCCTCTCGGACATTGCCCGCCGTATGGCGCCCAAGGGCTGGTGCCACGGCTCTGTCGGGGGGGCGGGACCAGGGGCGTGAACCTCACAAGTCATGGAGAGCACTGGAACCCAGACATGGAATAAAGACGGCAACCTGAGCCTCTCCCTCTGCGTCCCTGGGCTCCAGGTGGCTGGGGGGGGTCCCTCCTTGGAGCAACTGTAAGGCTGGCTCTGTGTGCTGTGTGGCTCCCCTACTTGGGGATAAGAGCCTACTGCTACCACTGCCTGGAGTCGCACTGAGGGTGAGGCTGTGCGGGGGCAGTGCCATGGCTGACCGCCCGTAACTGATCTGGAAAAAGGGGTAAATAGGTGCCAAAATTTGCAGAAGACACAATTACTCACACTAGTTAAGTCCTAAGCAGACTGAAGAGTTACAAGGGAATCTCACAAAACTGGGTGACTAGGCAACCAAATGGCAGATGAAATTCAATGGTGATAAATGCCAAGTAATGCACATGGGAAAACATATAATCCTACCTCTACATGTACAATGATGGGGTCTAAATTAGCTGTTCCCACTCAAGAAAGAGATCTTGGAGTCAGTGTGGAGAGTTCTCTGAAAACATTCACTCAATGAGCAGCGACAGTCAAGAAAGTGAACAGAAAGTTGGGAATCGTGAAGAAAGGGATAGATGATAAAACAGAGAACATACTGCTTTTATATAAAATCCATGGTATGCCCACATATCATGACTACTGCATGCAGATTAACCATTTAACCTTTTACATCCCTAACTAGTAAGCCTTAGTCTTACCGTTAACTGGATGTTAACCCTGGTGGCCAGCCAGGCCTCTGGCCCTGGCCTGCTGGAGTCACTTTGGTTAAAAGATATAATTTTATTTGTTTAACCGGTTAACTTTTTAGACCAATATTTACATCCCTAGTGCAGATGTGGTCACCCCATCTCAAAAAAGATATATTGGAATTGGAAAAGGACAACAATGATTCGGGGTCTGGAACAGCTTCCATCTGAGGAGAGATTAAGTAGACTGGGACTTTTCCCCTTGGAAAAGAGACAACTGAGGGGGGATATGATAGAGGTCTATAAAATCATGAGTGGTGCGGAGAAAGTGAATCAGGAAGTGTTCTTTACTCCTTCTCATACCACAAGAACTAGGGGTCACCAAATGAAATTAACAGGCAGCAGGTTTAAAAGAAACCAAAGGAAGTATTTCTTCACACAATGCACGGTCAAAGGATGTTGCGAAGGCCAAGACCAGGGCCCCATGCAGCCCCCATGGGCTCACTGTGCGGCCTGCGGGGGGCGTAGGCAAGCGGCGGGGTGGGGCAAGCCAACGGCCGGCAGGCGGGCAGGGTGGTGAAGATGCCGGTGGCTGGGGGGCGGGGGGCTGAGGAGGCAAGCGGCGAGTCGGTGGCTGGAGGGGGGCATCCCTTCTCAGTGTTTTACTTTTTGGTACTGTGTTGTACCTAAAGTGCTGTGCAGGATCTTTTCAGGGGCCATAAGGCAAAACACTGCAGTTATTAGTACTGCATGAAATAATCAGCACTGTCATATGCATACGATCTATATCGCACGCACCAGAAACGCGCTCCATCTCGCTGGTGTTACCAACGAGTTGCTCCCCTTAACTTCACTGGCCAGGTGAGTTAGATGGGAGAGGGGTGGGGCCGTGCTTCTGCCAATCCGGATCAGTGCTCCGATGTTGACAAGATGAGATCCGGGGTCCCCTGCGAGACACCTCAATCTATAGCCGCTTCCCTCTCATGCAAATCTATATCAGATACAAAATCTGGGCCTGTGTTCATTGGTCCTTTGTGCTGCTTTTCTCTGGGCTGGGGGTTGTCCCAATGCTGCAAAGAGGGTGTTCCCAAAGGAGGGTGCTGGCTTCTAACCCCCACGGCCGTCAGTATATCTGCTCTGCTCGAGTCAGCCCACTGGACAAGTGTGATTGTCCTTGGTCTGGCTCCCATCACCTCTCCAAGGGTTGCAGCTGCCTGGAGGTGCCTGCCTTCCACGCCTTCCTCAGTGACACCTCATTCACTCAACAGGGCCATTGACTACAAAGTGGGGGGAAGGAGGACTTGTGGCACCTTAAAGACTAAACAATTTATTTGAGCATAAGCTTTCGTGAGCTACAGCTCACTGCATCGGATGCATACTGTGGAAAGTACAGAAGATCTTTTTGTATACACACAAAGAAAAAATACCTCCTCCCACCCCACTCTCCTGCTGGTAATAGCTTATCTAAAGTGATCACTCTCCTTACAATGTGTATGATAATCAAGTTGGGCCATTTCCAGCACAAATCCAGGGTTTAACAAGAACGTCTGGGGGGTGGTAGGAAAAAAGAAGGGAAAATAGGTTACCTTGCATAATGACTTAGCCACTCCCAGTCTCTATTGAAGCCTAAGTTAATTGTATCCAATTTGCAAATGAATTCCAATTCAACAGTTTCTCGCTGGAGTCTGGATTTGAAGTTTTTCTTTTGTAATATAGCAACTTTCATGCCTGTAATCGCGTGACCAGAGAGATTGAAGTGTTCTCCGACTGGTTTATGAATGTTATAATTCTTGACATCTGATTTGTGTCCATTTATTCTTTTACGTAGAGACTGTCCAGTTTGACCAATGTACATGGCAGAGGGGCATTGCTGGCACATGATGGCATATATCACATTGGTGGATGTGCAGGTGAACGAGCCTCTGATCATGTGGCTGATGTTATTAGGCCCTTTGATGGTGTCCCCTGAATAGACATGTGGGCACAGTTGGCAATGGGCTTTGTTGCAAGGGTAGGTTCCTGGGTTAGTGGTTCTGTTATGTGGTATGTGGTTGTTGGTGAGTATTTGCTTCAGGTTGCGGGGCTGTAGACAAGGACTGGCCTGTCTCCCAAGATTTGTGAGAGTGATGGGTCGTCCTTCAGGATAGGTTGTAGATCCTTAATAATGCGTTGGAGGGGTTTTAGTTGGGGGCTGAAGGTGACGGCTAGTGGCGTTCTGTTATTTTCTTTGTTAGGCCTGTCCTGTAGTAGGTGACTTCTGGGAAGTCCTCTGGCTCTATCAATCTGTTTCTTCACTTCCGCAGGTGGGTATTGTAGTTGTAAGAAAGCTTGACAGAGATCTTGTAGGTGTTTGTCTCTGTCTGAGGGGTTGGAGCAAATGCAGTTGTATCGTAGAGCTTGGCTGTAGACAATGGATCGTGTGGTGTGGTCAGGGTGAAAGCTGGAGGCATGTAGGTAGGAATAGCGATCAGTAGGTTTCCAGTATAGGGTGGTGTTTATGTGACCATCGTTTATTAGCACTGTAGTGTCCAGGAATTGGATCTCTTGTGTGGACTGGACCAGGCTGAGGTTGATGGTGGGATGGAAATTGTTGAAATCATGGTGGAATTCCTCAAGGGCCTCTTTTCCATGGGTCCAGACGATGAAGATGTCATCAATAGGAAGATCTTATTCTACTTGGGGGGAGGGATAGCTCAATGGTTTGAGCATTGGCCTGCTAAACCCAGGATTGTGAGTTCATTCCTTGAGGGGGCCATTTAGGGATCTGGGGCAGAAATTGGGGATTGGTCCTGCTTTGAGCAGGGGGTTGGACTAGCTGACCTCCTGAGGTCCCTTCCAACCCTGATATTCTATGATTCTAGCAAAAAGACATTTTTCTTTTACCTTAATTGTACTACCTTAGGGGCCCGCTATAACATATTACCAAGGTTCAAGACAAAGTCAAATAAAAGTTATACAAAAATGCATAATGCAGAGATTTATCTACAACTGCATTGATTGACTGCTGTGTGCAGTAATATAGTGACCCCTGGGTCTTTGAATGAGGTTTTATACTTGGGGGGGCGAGCGGTGAGTCGGGGGCAAGCGGGTGGGCAAAGAAGCGAGCAGTGAGCCAGCAGGGGTTCTAGGGGCGGGCATGCGGGTTTCTGGCAGGGGAGGGAGGAGGTGAAAGGCGAGTGGTGGGTGGGGACTGACTAGGTGGGATGCAGCAAGCCAGTGGGGCGCTAAGGGGTGAAGAGGGGTGTGATGGTGGGGCCGAGCGGGGAGGGGACGGGTCCTATTTTACTGCTATGATCTGGTCACCCTATGCACGCCATTTCTTTCCCCCTCTACGGGCTTCAAGACACCATCAGGGCCTTGCTAGTGTGCCATGCGCCGTGAGATATCTCTTCTCTTTGTGTGCAACTGTGAGTGTTTCCCTTGTGTGTGAATTTATTCAATACAATCTTGAGCTTCATAACGGGAAGCTACTGCTGGGAAATGCTTCACGAAAGACAAGTTGTTGAAACAGTGTATGTTGATTGCTGGATCTGAGTTCTGTCCAGAAAAGAGGGCCGTAGTTGAGACTGTCAGTCTGCCACACCTGACTGTACAGGGAAGAAGAGCTAACATTTCTACCAATCTACGTGATCGGTTAAAGCAGAGAGCCAATGAATTCTGCTTTTACTCCCCAGCTATGGAGGAAAGCACCGGTTTAAAGACACCGCCCAACTTCTTATTTTTATGAGAGTGAGTGATCAAAACTTTGAAATTACTGAAGACCTTGCTGGCCTGCGCTCCATGACAGGTTGCACAACCGGAAAAGAAATCTCCAGTGAAGTGAGAAAGTGCACGAATGATCAGTCGGGATTAGATTTCACAAACTGCGTGGCCATTTGTACTGACGGCGCTCCAGCTCCGTGTGGAAAAAATGTTGGAGCAGTTACTCTTCTTGAAGAATTTACCGGGAGACAAATAACCGAACATCAGCTGCATTGTGCATCGGCAGGCTTTGTGTAGCAAAGTCTTAAAATTTGAGCCTGTAATGTCAGCGGTAGTTTCCATTGTAAACTACACCCATTCTAGAGGACTAAAACATAGGACATTTCGAGCCTTTCTTGAAGGGGTAGACGCCGAGGGCAGCGACTTAATCTACCCTACGGAAGTGAGGCAGTTGAGTCGAGGAAGAGCGCTCCAGCGTTTCGTTGCTTTGAAAGAGGAGGTAGCAAAATTCCCAGAAAATGGGCCAATAAAATTCCCAGAGCTTAAAAATGAGTCCTGGAATCAAGATCTCTTTTTCTTTTGTGATATTACAGCAGCCCTGGATGATCTCAACGTTCAACGTCAGGGAAAAAGTCAACTTCTATTTCGAATGTGTGCAGCAGTGAAAGCTTTCAAAATGAAACTGAAAGTTTTCACAAGTCAGCTGTCAGAAGGCGAAATGTGTCACTTTCCCGCTTGTGCACAGCGTATCCCTCAGCACAAACGCGCCAAGTTAGAAGACAAATACACAAAGCACATTAATCTTTTGATTGAAGAATTTGACAGAAGACTTACTTTGTCTAAAGAAGACGACGTCCAGTTGAAGCTGGTTGAAGATCCCTTTCCTGTGGATCCAGAGGAAGTGCCACTAGATTTGCGCTTGGAGGTTATTGAACTTCAATTTTTGGCAGTTTACCAAAACAGGCACAGAGAAAGCAGCCTGCGGGATGTCTACAAAAGTCTGGACAATGAAAAAAATCTTATCGAAGTTGCACTGAAAACGTTCGGCGTTTTTGGAAGCACTTACATATGTGAACAAACATTTTCCGTCATGAACATGAATAAAAACAAGCAACGTTCTTCTCTGACTGATGACCATTTGGAAGACATTGTGAAAATATCCACTTCAAATATGACCCCCGAATACAACAAGCTTGTTGCTGAAAAGAGATGTACGATCTCTCATTAAATTTGCAAGGTAATTATGAAAAGTGCAAATGTTTTCTTTCAACGGAACAGGTGTTTTTCATTTTTCCATGATTCATAAAAAAAATTAAAATAAAAAAATTGTTTGCTTTAATTGAAAAATTCTTAATAAAGTATCAAACCCTCCCCCCACCCCACCTTACTTTTCGGCCCACAGCTGTTTCAGCGGGGCGGCGCTGGGGAAGGAGGGTTTGTTTCCATGGGGTGGGCGGCGCTGGGGGGGGGGTTGTTTCCGCGGGGCCAGGCGATGTTGGGAGGGGGAGGTTTCAGACCTCAGCTGTTTTCTTTGGAGTAATGTGGCCCTCGCCGCTTTACGAGTTGTGCAGGCCTGGCCAAGACTATAACAGGGTTCAAAAAAAAACTAGATACGGTCATGGAGGATAGGTCCATCAATGGCTATTAGCCAGGATGGGCAGGGATGGTGTCCCTAGCTGCTGTTTGCCAGAAGCTGGGAATGGGCAACAGGGGATGGATCACTTGGTGATTCCTTTTTCTGTTCATTCCCTCTGGGGCCCCTGGCATTGGCTGCTGTTGGAAGCCAGGACGCTGGGCTAGATGGCCCTTTGCTCTGACCCACTCTGGCTGCTCTGGTGGACCTCATGCCTGTTCTCCCAGTCCTGGAGCTCAGACTAGATGATCTTTCTGCTGGGGATGTCGGTATCCTGCCCTGCCCCTGGTGGGAGCAGATGTCCCAGGAGCCCCCTTCTGCTTCTTTGGCTGCTGTGTCCCAGGGCTAGCGGTTCAGGCTCCCAGGCCCCTGCTCTGACCATTAGACCCAACTCCTGCCCCAGGGTGGAGGAATCCATTCCCAGCTGTACAGCAGTGGGCCAGGCTCCAGCAGGGAAGGGCTGGTACGGGTCACCCTAGGGAGCCCCCATTGTCTGGCTGGCAATCAAGCATCAGGATTTTTCCAGTAGCCATGGATTTGGGGCCCAATAGGATCCCCATGAAGGGCCATGAGCTCCTGCCCCTGGAGTCAAGGCCCCTCTTCTCTGCCGAGAGCCTTGTGCCAGCCGTGGCAGGGTGGGAACAGCCCATTTGCGGGGCAGAGACAGCTGTAGAGGGGAGGGGACGAGGCGGGAGCAGGGGCTGGAAGTCCAGGTGTTGGTAAATTGTAGAGTCCAGCACTGGCCCACGCTTTGATTCATTGGGATAGATTCTCATAATGGCCCTCGGTTTATTCACGCGGCCCGGGAAAAAGGCCCCGAGGAGCCATCCCGGGCAGCGATGTCCCGTTCACCTTGTGTGCAGGCGTCACCCCCAATTACAACCCTAAGGCCACCTTCCACCCCCTACTTGTTCGGCCGTAAAAGGCCCTGTGCACATCACCGGAGCCTGGAGGCAGGTCAGCAGCTCGTTACCGCGTTTGGTCCCATGGCACCCATCCCCCTTTGTCCTTGTTCTGAGCACGCGCAGTGCAGGTCCGGAGGGCACCCGGAGACCCCCGAGCTCTGTAGGTCTGGGTGGGGAACTCCCTTTCTGGTGCTAGGAGGAAACAAGTCTCTGGCCTGATACTGACAGTTCCTCCCTAGGTCAGCAATGCAGGGTGTGGGGGGACCCTTCGCGGACGGGGGCATGGGATGGGCCTGTGTTTGTGCTGAAACTCTTCCTGGTGCTTGATGCGTGCTAAGGTATGGATGGTGTGGATCATACATGTTATTAATATGACATATATTTATATGCAACCCAGCATATATTAGTCCACATGGGACTCCTGGGTTCTATGCTTGGCTCTGGGAGGGGCGTGGGGGCTGGTGGATTAGAGCAGGGAAGACTGGGAGCCAGGACTCCTGGGTTCTCTCGCTGGCTCTGCCGCTGACTCGGGGTGACCTGAAGCAGTGTGGCGG